AGACAGACAGACAGACAGACAGACAGACAGACAGACAGGCAGACGGACAGACAGGCAGACAGACAGACAGACAGACAGAGAATGGTACACATTGTTATCACTGTTTATGAACAGCTCATGAGTTCAAGTCCAGACGGAATCAGATGGATACAGTATAGTTAGGGGCTACCCCATTTGATGATGAGCCTTTGCTTGTCAGTCTGCAGAATGTCACTCGCTCGCTCGTTCGCTGAATGACTATTCTTTGGTTGTTGCTCGCTCACTCACTCATTCGCTGAATATGACTTTATTCTTTGGTTGTCGCTCACTCGCCACTTCACTGGAAAAAAATGGACTTGTCTTCTGTCTGTGTGTAGGCTGAGATTGTGAAGCAGGAGCAGCGGCTGAAAATTGAGAGGGAGAACTTAGAGAAAGAGAAGAATCTGCTGATGGGCACGGCATCGAAGCAGGACAGTCAAGATGGTGCTTTGGAGATAACTGTCAGTGGGGAGCAATACCGTTGCCTGCGCTTCTCAAAAGCAAAGAAGTAGATGGAGGGGTGGGAGGAGGAGGGGGCTTTGAGAATGAGGGGCAGGGGAAGGGAGAGAGAGTGGAGGCGATGTGTGTGGAGGTGATGTGTGTAAACAGACAGGCAGGCAGGCTGTCCCGTACATCGTCGTAAAGCTTGCGTGGTTGGTCAGACTGAGTTGATCTTGACCTCGATTGGGTGGAATGTGTGTCTCGAGGCGTGATGTTCACGAAGGACCCCCCCACACACAATATGTATGCGAGAAGGTCTCACCTTGCGGATCCAGCGTTGTTGCCCTTCTGCCTTGCCAGAAAGAAGCAGTGCAGGCATGCTTCGGCCTTGTTCGAAAAGCCCTTCTCCCTTGTCCGAAAGAAGAAAAGGGAAAGAGAAAAAAAAAAAAAAAAAAAAAGAGTACAAGACTACTACAAGTAACAGGGTTTGGGATGAGTGGAAGCAGCATCACGATGTGCAGGGAGGAGCTATGGAGCATGTTCTTTTGTCAGGATCAGCATCAATTGAAATCTCCTCGTGTGCTGAAGGAGGAAGAGGAGGAGGAGGAGGATGAAAGCAGCGTATATGCTCTCTGAGCACATAATCTGTTCTGAGCGTATTTGGTCCCACTCTAAGCACAGCATCTGTTCTCAGCGTAGAATTTGCTCCCACTCTAAGCACATCGTCTGTTCTCGGCGTATTTGCTTGCAGCAGGAAGTGCCCATGGAAGGATGTAGATTTGAGACACCAGTCCTCAGCATAGGGTCTGAAGTCTGAGGACAGCATTCGTTCTAATAAGCATATATGTTTTGTTCTCAGTTTATTTGTTTTTCTCAGCAGGAGGTGCCCATTGAAGAAAGGAAATGGATTGAGACACCAGTTCTCATCACATATGCTTTTTTTCGTAGCGTATTTGTTCTCAGCAGGAGGTGGCCATGGGCCAGGAAGTGGATTTTTGAGTGATCAGTAGCATATATGTTTTGTTAATCAGCAGGAGGTGCCTATGGAAGGAAGTGGATTTGAGACACAGCATAGGCTGTGAGCGCAGGATCTGTTCTCAGTGTAATATGTGTTGTTCTCAGGATATTTGGTTTTCTCAGCAGGAGGTGCCCATTAGAGGAAGTGGACTTGAGACACTTATAGTTCTCAGTAGATATGTGTTGTTCTGAGCGTATTTTTGTTCGTAATAGGCGGTGCCCATGGGAGGCAGTGGATTTCAGATATCACTTTTCTCAGCATATATGTTTTGTTCTCAGTGTATTTGCTCGCATCAGGAGGTGCCTATTAGAGGAAGTGGACTTGAGACATCACTTCTCCTCAGTATATATGTCTTGGTTTCAGCGTAGTTGTCCCCAGCAGGAGGATTTACGCATCGAAGGAAGTGGATTTGAGATATCTGTTCTCAGCATATGCTCCGTGTTCAGCACACATGTTTTGTCGTCAGCGTATTTCTTCTCAGAAGGAGGCGCCCTTAGAGGAAGTGAACTAGAGACATCAGTTCTCAGTATATATGTTTTCGCGTCTCAGCGTATATGTTTCCAGCAGGAGGTGCCTATGAAAGGAATTGGACATGAGTCATTCGATCTCAGCATATGCTCTGAGGCACAGCACCACCTGTTCTCAGTGTATATGTTTTGTTCTCAGCGTATTGGTCCTCAACACAGCATTTGTTCTCAGCAGGAGGTTGGCCATGCAAGGAAGCGGATTTGAGACATTCGTTGTCAGCATCTGTTTCTGAGCACAGCAGTTGCTCTCTGAGTGTATTTGGTCTCAGCAGCAGGTGCCCATGGAAGGAAGTGGATTTGAGACACATCATTTCTCAGCAGCTGCTTTTTTCAGTACAGCATTTGTTCTCAGCGTGTATGTTTCGCTCTCGGCTGCAGGGGTGCCCATCCATGGAAGGAAGTGGGATTTGAGACAACATTAGTCCTCAACACATATGCTCTCAGCATATATTCCTTTGTTCTCAGCAGAAGACTCCCAGCGTATACGCCCTTGTTCCCAGCATATATTCCTTTGTTGTCAGCAGAAGACTCTCAGCGTATACGCCCTTGTCCTCAGGACAGGGAAGGGATCTAAACACAATAGCTCTCCGCATTTGTTCTCAGCGCGAGGCGGCGGCCATGGAAGCAAGCGGAATGGATATACATTCATTCTCAGCACCTGTTCTGAGCACAGCAGTTGCTCTCTGAGTGTATTTGCTCTCAGCAGGAGGTGCCCATTGAAGGAAGAAGTGGATTTTATTTGAGACATTAGTTCTCAGCACATATGCTTCGAGCACGGCATTTGTTCTCAGAGTTTATGTTTTGTTCTCAGCAGGAGGTGCCCATGGAAGGAAGGAAGTGTGTTTGAGGCGTTAGTCCTCCTCAACATATGCTCTCAGCATATATGCCTTTTTCTCAGCAGAAGGATCTCGGGGCAATACTATACGCCTTGTTCTTTCAGCAGGAGTGTCCACATGGGAGGACAGGGATCCAAGACAAAGATTCTCAGCATCTGCTCCAAGCATGGCATTTGTTCTCAGCACGGCGTTAGTTCTCCGCATCCAGTCTGAGCACACACACCAGCTGTTCTCAGCGAATTCTGTCCTTGGGACCTCCATGCAGCAGCGCTTTTTTTTTCTCCTTCTTCTTGGTCTGGATGTGGGTCTCGCATCCTCATTGCAGCTGTACGTGTAGCAGCACTGTCTTGTTCGTTGATTTTCTTGTCCGTTGATGAACGGATTTTCAAGGACCGCCCGTTGCTTCACTGAGATGTACCTTCCTGTGGTTTCTTGTCTCTGTGAGAACATGTCAGCTGTCGGAAGCAGAAGTGTTTTCTAGTATGGCTTCAACATATCTCTATTTTTATTTTTATTTTGTTTTTTTTCCTAAATTCCTGGCGTCACCACTTCCAAACTCTGTCATGTGTCAGAAAAACTGTGTAGCTTTCTTGGGTACTATGTAGCTTCGCTTTTTTTTTTTTTTGGGGGGGGGGNGGGGGGTTGGCGCACTACTTCGCTCTCGGGTAGTAGTGCTTACAGGGGGCACTACTTCGCTCTTAAGTAGCAGTGCTTGCAGGGAGCACTACTTTGCTTTTAGGTAGTAGTGCTTACAAATAAAGCCACGGGCACTCTCCTCGCTACTTCGCTCTTTCGTAAAGCTTTAAGGAAAAGTAAACAGAGAAAGCTTCCTGTAGCGATCTGGTGTTCCCTCATCGTGAGTGTTTTTGACGTGTCAGTTTCTTGCAGCACAAATTTCTTTGACGTGTGTGTAGGCTTGCCAGCATCTGGGATCGGATACATGGTGGAAAATCCGAGTGCGAGAATGCCGATAAAGCAAAGCAAAAGATGTACTTGGACGGATTGGGTGGAAAATTTGAGTGCGAGTACACCGTCGATCTGTGTAACACATACATAATACATATGCTTGCCTGTCAGCATGTGTTTCCGACATCTAGATCTCTCGGCAGCAGCAGCATCTGATATGTGGGTTCGGCGTCATCAGTTTCTGTTTTGCTATAAGGTTCTGCAGGATGAGTTTTATAATGTAGGCCTTTTTTTTTGCCCCCCAACTAGGGCCCCAAGAACATCATCTGGGTCCCATCCCCAGGAGGTGATACGAGCAGCGTCCGGGGGATGGCGTCTCCACTGAATGATGGCTCCTAGCATCACTTCTATGTCCTGGTCAGGAGAGTGCGGGAGGTTTAAAATGTAGGCTTGAGCACGGGGGGGGGGGGGGGGGGGGGGGGGGGGGGCGCTGTATGCAAATGCAAGATAAGGCCTTTGCAGGGGGTTATGCATTCAGCTTTTTCAACCTTGTTCTTCTCTTGCAGGCTGCTTCAACCACAACTACCTTTCACAGGCAAAAAAGGGTGTCGCCACACGGCGCGGCACAGAATGAAGAAAAAAAACGAGTGCATCTGCTGACAAGCGGTGGCAAAATGCATTCGTTACTAATTATAGCAAAAAGATGAACCTGTCCATCTCCTGTGGGAAGATGCACTCCTGCTTTCGTTTCTAATTTCACGGACGGCCAAACTCAGAACACCGATTTACTGCACGTGGACGTGGTTACCGTAAACTGCGTTCTTCGACTGAACAGTGCTCCGGGATGAAAATGGCAGCCGGCGTCAGCCAAAAAAAAAAAGGACAAAAATGATGTGCTCGCACTTCGGGGGTAAAAGTGGCAGGCGGCGTCAGCCAAAAAAAAAAAAGGACAAAAACGCTGTGCTGGCACTTCGGGGATAAAAATGGCAGGCGGCGTCAGCCAAAAAAAAAAAGGACAAAAATGCTGTGCTGGCACTTCGGCAAAGCTTGGCGTGCCAGGTCTTTTCTGTCTCTGCAAAAAAAGAGAGAGGCTCCCAGGTTGTGGTGGTTTGAACTTCAAACCACCAGTGAGTACCTTTCCCACCTCCCTGTACTCTGGGAGTTCTTTTATCATGAAGCAGGGGAACGAAGTCGAGATGGAGAGGGTGAACGAAGGGGCAAAGTAGAGGTAAAAGTGTCCTTCACATATAACATAAGGAAGATATAAAATATCAGGCAGCAGGAGACGGCAGTTAGAACTGACCTGTGGGCCCAGAAGATCCCGTATCTCACGCCATCGATTTAGGCTCCTTCCAGTCTGCTGACTGCAGCAGGACATATCATTTGCAATTTTGTAAGCCGGTGTTACAGCTATCTGTGGTGACCCTTTGGGCCTCGATGCACTACTCTCGAAATGTGCAAAACGAGAGTGAATCTTCCGTTAGAATATGGAAAGATACACGGCCAATATTTTTGTCTTTTGTGCATGTCGAGAGTAGTGCAGCGAGGCCCTTTCAGTTTGTTGGAACTCAACTTTGGTTCATTTACAAAGTGAGAGCTTCCACATTCATATTGAAACGGCGTGAAAAAAACAAGATGAGGATTGTCTATCCAAAGCTGCATGAGAAACCTTGGCAGTTTCACAAAAGGCATGAGCTCAGAGGCTGATCAACTGTATAGACAATAAAACATCCTCTTGCTGTGCAGATGACACACTCGTGTCTTTTAGGAGACAAACGAAGTGTACTGGGTAGAGAGAGCAGAATGCATTCTCAATGGATAATGGAATTCACCTATAAACCGCATAATGTCTGGCTCTACCTAATGAATCCACGCTTATGCTAACAGACAACATGTGTCTAGGTCCTACAGCTTTGGAGAGATCCTTCTTGCTTGAAATACTGGAGGATCGAAATGGCAGAGACCCGGAGAATCAAAATGGCAGAAAACCAGAATTGTAGGTAAATGAGATATAATATACATAGTCGGTAAAAACGAGAGGCAAAGGGTGGTAGGCGACGGGAACAGATTCGAGAAGAGTCGGAAGGTGGCGTCAAACAGAAATGGAATACTAAGTCTATACTTGTTAAAACTTAAAAAAGTAACTCGGGGTTACTAAGTCGCGCGATTCGGGGTTTAAATGGCTTAAAAGAGTGGTCACGTCGCGTGTACTGTCGCGGTGTAGAAAGATATAGATTATCATTGTTTTTTTAAAGGGTTATAACATTGCCTGCGCCGAGGGGTTGAGCCCACACTCAAGTGATAAACGATTTGCATCCTACCCTATTAGGTAGAATACTCGTCTGATCCAAGGGTGCGGCAGTCAGCCAGTTGACTTGCAGGGGCAGTCGGAGTCTGCCGGACAATGGGATGGGTACCGTTGGGGACAAACTTTTCAAATAGAAGAGTTGTTCCTGCTACTTCCGTAGTAGTAGGAGTTAGCCCGGTAGGTACCGTGTCGAATTGCCACCCAGCAGATACCTGGATATACCTGGATTGAATCCGAAGGTGGCTTTGCCTGGACTAGCTCCATTTTATAGCAGCCCTACGGGGAGTTACATGCCTGTGAGGTCAATTTCAACTGCACGATTCCGAGATTGCACGACCAAAATTATGAGAGACGGTTAACGGAGTGCTCAATTTTCAGGCCACTTGTCATGCCATTATATCAAAACCCAAGGGTCATTTTAACCGAACTTGCCACCAATTCATAGAGTGGAGATCATACTAACTACTTACAAAAAAAAAAAACTTTGAAAATCTATAAAACATCAAGGCAAAAATGTGTTTTCATGCAAAATTCACTCTTTTCAGTTTTCAGGATTTTCAGGATTTTTCAGGGCTAGCCAAAACAGTCAACTCCAAGACCCCAACAAACACCAAACTTGGCACAACCTTAACCAGAAATAAAACAGGTAAAAAAAAAAAAAAAAAAAAACTAAAAAAATGACCTCCAATGCATTTTTCAGGGTTGAGGGGGTTAACCAGGGTTGAAAAGTGGGCGTCCCTGATAACCGAGGGTCTGATTTATCCTCGTTAGAATGAACCTTGAAGGGGTGCTTACTTGGATCAAACCTCTAAAGGTTGAGCCAACCTTCATTTTTAATGAGAGGCTGCTCTGGAACCTTGGTTCCGAAGCCAGACGGGACATCTTTGGACTCGTATCGTGGGATGCATGGGCTGCAGAGGAAGGTGTATATATGCCGAACAAGGCGGACCAGATCTGGGTATAAATGTTATGGGTCGCAACATGAGGTGACAACAGTTGCTTTGTGATTTCAGCAGAGGGTGAAAGAAAAGGTGACAAGTGGCAGCCTAGCAATAAATTTGGCACTTAGCAGCTGGAACTGAGATGCACGAACCCATAACTGAAATGACGTGGGGGCACCCAAGTCCGCGGCTATATTAGAAGGGGCTGAACTCAAACAAGGCACATTGAAGTGGTGACTTGGTATTACACAAGGCTATGGGTATACGGTGAGTTTTGAGGTGCGGTACTTGGCCCCAACAAGTTCAAGGTAGTGATGTGACGGGGGAAAGGAGTGTTGGAGGTCTGCAGTGTTGAGGGAGAAGCTACTGGTGGAGATGCTCGTGGTCTGCAAGGTTGAAGGAGAAGCCGCTAAAGGAGGAACAAGTTAGCCTTAGCTAAGGCTAGGGAGGTTTTGCCTTAGTACTTGGAATTAGAGTGGCTCGAGGAGATGGAGGTTTGCGCGAAGGCTGATGGTGGAGTTGGGTGGCTACAACTATAATGAGCAGCCATAGCCATGGTCTGTGTGCGCGACATCGAGGGGAGATGCTACCGATTTTTTTGGGCAGCGATGCAACCGATTGAATAGGGTGATGCTGCCAAAAGTTTAGCAAACTGGCATTACCTCTTAAGAGAATTATGCCGCCGAAATTTTGGTCCGACGATGACCATTATTTGCGGTGGGGTTATGCTGCCGAAATTTTGACACGTTGGCGGTACTAAATTATGGAGGGGGGGTGTTGTCGTTTTTACAATGTAACGACGGTAGCGTTTTTTCGGTGGGAGAATGTTGTCCATTTGACGGCGGGGAGCGTTTTTTTTTTAGGGGACGTGCCATTGGTTAAACGATACGGTGTTTATAGTTTTAGCAAGGGGGCGTGGTGGTACCGGCTACAATCTGCGCTTGGGACGTGGCTCCAATGGTGATGTTCGACTATGCTGTGCGCCATTTTTTTTTTTTTTTTAGGAGTGTGGCAGGGTGCGATCGGCAATCTTGGGGCATGCTTGGTGGTGGGTGTGATGGATTGTGTTATGTGACACTCATGAATCAGTTGGGACGCACGTGGGAGGCTATTTTTTTGGGCGGGGACCACATGATGCAGTGTGCGGGCCAGCAAGATTAGTTGGGACGTGAGCAGGCGAGATAGTGACTATTGGGACTCACGACACTTGCGGTTTCGACATTCGGGACCACCTCTATTTTTTTTTGGGAACACACAAAGTGAGCAGTTTTGATAATCGGTGTTGAGCACATCGGCTCCCGCCTTTTTCTCAAAGGTGAGAGCCCTCTCGGCCATGTCACTCAGGAGTAAAACAAAATAAATTGAGAGGCAGTTTGGAGACGACGCAAAATAATCCCACGAGCCGCCGAGACGGCTGCGATAGCATCGTCCCTTCGCCGCTCTAGCCGGGTGCACCAACTATACATTCTGCGGTCCCCTATGTCAGAAAAGGTTCTCGCGGGGCATAAACTTATCTTTCCTAAGGGGTTGTCACCACCCTTAGGTGTATCCCTACCAAGCTACTGACCCACGTGCGAAAGCTTTTAAATGCAATCGCAGAGGTAGATCAGCCAAGGGCGTTTGCTCGTTCGTTGTAGTATAGATGCGCTTGGTTAACACCAAGAGGACCCGAGTGTCGTATGTCCCTTAGGGCACTGATCTCCTAAGTACGGAGTGTACGTCGATCGACTAGGACGGTCTTAACCAAGCATAAAAACCTCAACTCGATCCTAGTCCCTCAGACACATAGTCCGAAAAAAATATATCAACCATACATAATTACATCAAAAGGATT